TGCCAATTAAATGGTCCACAAGGACTGGCAGCACCTCCAACAAGCATGAAAGGTCAATTTTTGTTTGATTTTGCTGACACTAATAATAACAGAATTAGAAGAATACAAAATGACTTGACAGTTATACCCCTATTAAGCAATAATCCTAATAATGATGGAATTAACGGACCAAATGGAATAATGTACACGCCAAATGGTGATCTTTATATCGCCAGTCAAGGAAACAACAAAATAATGAAATACAGTAATTCACAATTGAGTACTGTTGCTGGAAATGGTTATGCAGGTTATTCAGGCGATGGAGGACCAGCCAGAAATGCCAAGTTGAACTATCCTGCAGATGTTACAGTTTCCTCCACAGGTGAAGTTTATATTGCAGGTATGTTTTGAAGAATTTAATGTAATTTTTAAACGATTCATCTACTAGATTGGGGAAATAGAGCTGTAAGAAAAGTTTTTAGAAATGGAACAATTATTACTCTTATTGTTAGTGGTAACGGACTGTCTGAATTGAATGGTGTTACATTGACACCAAATGGAGATTTGTTGTATTCAACACAATTATGGGTCAAGCTGTATATGGAGGGAGATTCAGGAAGTTGTATTGATAAGAATACATGCAATAATCATGGCAGTTGTGTGAATGGAAAGTGTGTTTGTGATAGTGGATGGAGAGGAAATTTGAATTGTGGAACATTTTCATGTGACATTACACCACCACCTCATTCTTCACAATGTATTGGTCCAAATCAATTTTCTTGTCAAGATGGGTGGACAGGATTAAATTGCCAGGAACCAGTTTGTTTTGGAACTCCAGCAAGCACCACAACAGTATGCAGTTCACATGGTCAATGCATTTCCAATAATACATGTAATTGTGTGAGTGGATGGAGAGGCAATTCAGATTGTAGTGCATTTTCATGTGACATTACACCACCACCTCACTCTTCACAATGTATTGGTCCAAATCAATTTTCTTGCCAGGATGGATGGACAGGACTAAATTGCCAGGAACCAGTTTGCTTTGGAACTCCAGCAAACACCACAACAGTATGCAGTTCACACGGTAAATGTATTTCCAATAATACATGTAATTGTGTGAGTGGATGGAGAGGCAATTCAGATTGCAGTGCATTTTCATGTGATGTAAAATCTGAACATGGAGAGTATTGTATTGGACCTAATACCTACAAATGTCAAGATGGCTGGATTGGTGATTTATGTGACATTCCACTTTGTAATGGAATTCCAGCAAATAATCCAGCAGTTTGCAATTCACACGGACAGTGCATTTCCAATAATACATGTAATTGCTTTAGTGGATGGAGAGGAAATAGTATTTGCACTCAATTTACATGTGATGGTGTCAATAATTGTCAACCTCATGGTCAATGCATTTCTAATAATACTTGTAAATGTAGTACTGGTTATGGTGGAAATGGATGTAACGATAGAATGTGCTTTGGTAAATGGGGTCAAGCAGGTTGCAGCAATAATGGATATTGTTCAAATACTGACAAGTGCAGTTGTTTCCCTCTCTATTTTGGACAACAATGTCAGTGGCTTGATTGTAATCC